AGTCAGCTGAGGTGGTTCGGGCATCTAATTAGGATGCCTCCTGGACGCCTCCCACTGGAGGTTTTCCAGGCACGTCCAACTGGGAAGAGACCCCGGGGAAGACCCAGAACACGCTGGAGAGATTACATCTCCCAGCTGGCCTGGGAACGCCTCGGGATCCCCCAGAATGAGCTGGAACATGTTGCCGGTGAGAGGGAGGTCTGGGTCGGCCTGCTTGACCTGCTGCCACCGCGACCCGACCCCGGATAAGCGGTGGAAAATGGATGGATGGATGGATATTATATATATAAAATGTGTCTAAATGGCCATAAATCAATCTTTTAAGAGTAACTGCTGCAGTTGTCACATAAATGAAGTGCAGTAAAAAGCATAACATTTCCCTCTGAGATGTATTGGTGTAGAAGTATGACATAGAATAAATGGAAACATTCAAGTACTTCTAACATGTACTTGAGTTGCAGTACTTGGGTAAAAATACTGAAATCAGCAGCAGAATCAGCTTTATATTATATTTAATTATATTTGAACACAAACAACGAAGTAACTTATGAACCTAGAAACAAACAAGGACATCAGAGCTGAACAAGATAAACACCTTTAACTACTATGTACAGATATAACAACTATAACAAGTGTAGATATTAATACAGGCGGATTAAAGGAACAGGTTGTCCAGACAGAATACCTTCTGATGATGCAGAGGACCAGAATGAGACTACAGAGAGCCAGCAGGACACCAACCACCACACCGACGATCAGAGGCACCGGAACGCCTCCTGAAAACACACCAGTCTGTTATGAGACGAGAGGTTAGCACTACATCCTTACAGTCATGACTCTGAGAACATTTAACATAACACGAGCTCTGGCAACACCTTCACTCTGCTACCTCTTTCTGTCAGGTACTCTGTTCACTACCTGTGTGGGTACTCTGTTCTCTACCTGTTCAGGTACTCTGTTCACTACCTGTGTGGGTACTCTGTTCTCTACCTGTTCAGGTACTCTGTTCACTACCTGTTCGGGTACTCTGTTCTCTACCTGTTCGGGTACTCTGTTCTCTACCTGTTCAGGTACTCTGTTCTCTACCTGTTCAGGTACTCTGTTCACTACCTGTGTGGGTACTCTATTCTCTACCTGTTCGGGTACTCTGTTCTCTACCTGTGTGGGTACTCTGTTCTCTACCTGTTCGGGTACTCTGTTCTCTACCTGTGTGGGTACTCTGTTCTTCCTCTCCAGCCTCCACATTCAGACTGAACGGATGGGAGAGTGTGCCGACGGTGTTCTTCAAATCACAGGTGTAGTTCCCAGAATCCTCTGCTTTCAGAGGGCTGAGGTGGAGGGAGGGGCCAGTGTATGTGAGGGCGTGGCCATCTCTGAACCAGGTGACCTCCAGTTGGTGGAAGGTGCACTCTGTAGTGCAGGTCAGTGTGACGGCTTCACCTCTCTTAAACTCTCCGTCTCTGGAGCTCAGTATCTTCATTTGAGTCTTATCTGAAATATGTATTTTAAATGTTACTTTTCCTTGACTTACAGATTCAATAAATGAATACATCAACATCACTGAGGCTCAGTAGACGGTACCAACGATGTTCTGATGGTTCTAACTACCTGCTGTAGAGCTCTAATGTCATGGACCCTGAACACCTCATGTTTGTAATGTTTCCAGTCGGATGCTTTCTATTGCTCCTCTAAGCTTTGCACAGGAATGTACCTTTATTAACTCCCTTCAGAAACACAGTCGTTTATGAACCATGATCTCCGTTCTTCATCTTTTCCTCTGAGTTTGCTGCATTTAGCAGGACTCCACTTTGTGACCACCACTACTACTTTAACATGATTATTGTTGGGACCATTGGAATACAAAGCCATAATATATTTATTCTGGTCCATTCAACAAATAAACAACAATGGCAGATCCTGAAGAGGCTATTAGCTGTAAAAGAAGCTACAGCACACGATGCTCTGGGCTCCAGGATCACAGACGTTAGTGATCGGTAATATTAACAAGTGTGTTGGCATAACAACACGATGCTCTTACCATCGACTGTGACTCTCACTCCTGTTTGGTTAGTGTAAAAGGATAACTTGTTTTCATCTTCCATTCTGAAGCGAAGAGTTTTATCGTCTTCCTTCTTTAGACTTGAGATCTGTAAAGTGCAGTTTCCCTTCGTGTCTCCCAGGTAACGATAACGAGGGTTGTTGGCGTTGTTTTGTAATGTGTTGTCGGTCACAGTCGGAGTGGACCCCTGACAAATTGGATGGTTCTGGCACCAAACGACTCTGATGATCTCAACCAAAACCTCTCTTCCATCCTCAGTGACAGTCTTCTGTGGTGTGAAGGTGCAGGGGAGGGTCACTGTGGATCCTCTAACACCACAAAGTGGATCTGAATAGATCACACGTTGACTCACAGCACCTGGAGACACAAAATGCAGAAAATGACGTAAAAGGACAGAATTCAGGTTTTAGTCTCAGTGAACAAAGGTCTGATAGTAGAACAAGAGTCACAGACCTGAGATTTGATCTCGTATTAAATTAAATTTGCGGCCTTTTCTTCAACACAGACAGAAACCTTTTGAGTTATTATGGTTCAGATGTATGGTGCTGTTAGACTGCTGCTCATACAGGAGCAGGATAAACGCCAACAGACATGGATTGAAGCAGAATATTTTGAGATAAAAACATGTGAATTTTGGAAATTATTACATCCATCTCTTTTCAATGCATTTTCAGTTTTTTAAAAGTTATTAATAATAATGATACGAATGTCAATTTTATGAATAAAGCTGCAAAGTTGAAGCTGCTTATCAACAAGAGTCTCTCAATCTGTCTGTGAGCGGGTTCACATAAAGGGGCGGGGTTTAGAGCATCTGACCAATCACAAGCATGGACAAGTCTGCTGTCAGCAGAGCGTTTTACAAATAAAGAGAAAACTATAATATTATATAAATATGAAGACGTTAAAGTCATAATTTAGACTAAAATAAAGAGTTTAAACGTGAAGGAAGACCAGCTGGTAATAAATCACTGACTGTATGAATGTTTATATTAATAGATTTATAAAAGGTTCTGATCTGACTATAGTTACATGTGTGTAATATATTACATTGGCGTTGTTGTAGATGTATGATGGCGTATGTGTGTGCGCATGTCTGTGTCTGGATGAGGTGTAAACTGTGTGTGTGTGAATATCTTATTGTTTCATCTGTAACCTCGGTGATGTGAAACAGACTTCAGGGCAAATAAATTAATTGAGTATAAAAACAACTCAAAGCAGTAAGAATGTCTTCTTCATAACTTATAATCATCTCAGCAAAGTTTAAAGTAACGACTCAACACGTCTCTAGAAGCTGAGCCACGTCATGAATATATGAATATATAACGAGGGGTATAGTGAGTTAGTTGTGGTTCTAGAGATGAAAGTCATGGTTCTGACCTCAGAGGCTCAACACCAACACACATGGATGAACCGTTACTTTAACTTCTTTATATGTTTAAGATAATCTAACCATCCATGAGCCGAGCTCTGATTGGTCAGTGGGCGGAGCTTTATCTCCAACATCACCTGTTCAGCATCAGTTACCATGGTGATGCACCAGGTAAGAACCTCAGCCATAGAACTGAACCAGAATGAACCCTGACGTTACCTGATCACCACAGACCCTGGTCCCGGTCCAGGTCTAGGACCAGGACCCCACTGTCCGGTGGTGTTGAAGCAGAACAAGGTGCAGATATTAAAGTGAAACCCTTTAAAGCAGACGTGTAGACGTATAAACATGAGATCTCATGATTAAACACTCTACTGGTTTAAAAGATGTTTTTTCGTGTTTGCTGTGAAACTTAAAGTGCAATAAAACAGTTTTAAATATGTAAAGTGCTGCAGACACAGCGAGCAGCTGAGTGTGATTCTCTGTAATAAACTGTCTTCACACGTAGTCGCTGGATTCATAAATAGACATGAAGGGAAGTAAGAGTGTGAAGAGATGAGACAGATTAGAGAAGTACTCACACGCCTACTGCAGTAAAACACATGCTGTCAAGTATTACATATACTTATAATGTACAACACAAAGCACTTATTAGACACAGGCATCGTTGTACTTTGATGTGTTATAGATTATTGTTGATGAGGTGATGTGAACGCAGTTGATCCAGTTTTACAGAAAGACAAAATATAATAAAACAGAAATGAAGTCAAATAAATAAATCACAGACTCAGAGGTTTAAATACCTCTGAGTCGTACTGAAGTGCAGTATTTGTGTACATGTAGTTCGACATTGTTGTTGAATGTTCTCAGTTTTCACACGGAGAACGTGAGAGAGAGGAGAACCCAGAGACGGACGTCAGCCTCACCTGTCAGCAGGAACATCAAGCACAGAACCTTTGTGTCCCAGAGCGCCATCCTGACTGTCCACGTCTTCCCCGACACAGAGAGGAGCCAGAGTGAGCCGACCCACGGACGCTTGTGACATAACAAGAAGGTCTTTGACTTTCTGACTTCCTCTTTTCTTTTCTCTTTTTCCGAGAACTCTTCTTTCAACATTGTCTTCTCTCAGATATCTGTGACGACACTTCTCCTGTCGCTGGTCACTTCCTAATGACTCGAGACCATGAGACGTGTTCTGAGAAACACTTTATCTCTCAATCATCCAACTTTACTGTCAACGTCCTCCGATCAACACTTGTTCCCTCACTGCACACAACTACAGTCCTGCTTCTACACATCTCTACTGTAATCCTGTGTGTTCTTGACTTTTCCATTACTTTCATTGTGTTTCCTCTTAATGTGTTTATTGTCATCAAGCTGCCCAATAAACCTGTTTGTGATCAGAGAGAAAACCTCTTCAGACCTGGCAACACGAGCAACCTGACAACACGAGCAACCTGACAACACGTGCAACCTGACAAC